ATGAATTTGAAAGAAACAAAAAAGGCTTTATTTTTCTCTGTTAATCCCTTGGACAACTTTTAAGTCTTGCTGGGAAGTTACAAGTAAGCTCATCTCTTTCTGAGCTTTGGGAGTACAGTCTAGCACAAGTTTTCGTTTGTACTGAACACATTAAAGACTAGATTGAAAAATTGCCTGCAAGATTGTTCTCACTTATATCCTGAGAATTGAACCTGGACAGTGTATTAAATACTATAAGGTTGTGAACTAGCTGATTAAATGATCAGATTAATAAATGTATATTGATAGTTGAATTTAGCGAAGAAATAGATAATCTTGATTATGCCTTTATGTTTGCAAGAAGAGGTATAGCTAGAGTGTATCTACAGGAGTTTTTAAAGAGTATTTTTAAGTAACAAAATGAACAAGAATTAACTCTTTGGTACAAGCTATAAGGTAATACTTGTCAAATCTATCATCTATCTATCTATCTATAATTACCAATGTTATCTTTTAATTTTGTTTTAGATGTAAGAGCATGCTCATGGTACTTACATAAATTGTTACATTAATTTTTCTTATATAATGTCTATTTTTTTTATGTGGTTCAAATATATTCTTTAAACTCTTATAAAAAAGAGACCACTTTCTGAAGTGGACCAGCATCCACCAATTCTTTTTGGTACAATGATTCTGTATCCTTTCATTTTCTTTTGATGCTTTTTCCATCACTCAGTATTTTGTGCTAAAAATCTCTCTGTATTGCAGCTCAAAGTTTGCTTCTCCCACCCCACCTCCCCACCATTTCTTTCAGCTTAAGGAAAATTGAACATGGCCTGTTTCCTTTCAGTTTTCTAACTTCAAGTCTTTGCACATTTCATTATATCAGTTTCCTTTCTTTTCTAAAGCTGTCATTTGCAATCTCTTACTTCATTATTTCTTCCTTTTTACATTGTAGAACAAAGTTCAGAGTCACTTCTGATATTCAGTTTGATCTTTTCTTTCTTTTCATCTTTTTAATAATATTTTTTCCCCTCCTTGTATAATGCCCTTGATGTTCGCAATATGTCTTGTCTCCAGTCATTAGTGTTCAACGCTTCAAATATATTCTTGAGAGGGTTTCTGCCTAGCTTAATAGACTGAGTCCTTCGATTTATCCTCTATGTTTCTCTTACTTGTTCTAAAGCACACACACATACACATATCATTCATACTTTCCTTCCTGTGAAGTCTAGGTTCTCATTTTATGGCAAGGAAACTTAAGTAGCAGCTTGCTTATAGCATATCCTTCACATTGTAAACAAGAAAGCACCTTCACTTTTGAACCAGTTGAGAAAACAGCACTTGCATTCAGTTGAGCTACGGTTCTGGCAGAAACATTCTGTATCTCGAATGATACACTCTGTAGAGAGCCGTGTTCCTGGGAGGGGTAAATATTCTTAATAGGCTCTCCTGTTCTGTGAAAAATTGTACCAAAGTCTGTAACCAGAAGTTAAGCTTGGCTTACTTTATTGATGTTGGACAGATATAACTTGGTGCTTGGTCCCTTAGTTCCAAAACAATCAGTGAACTCTGTGTGTGTGCGTGGATGAATGTTCGTGGATGAATGCTGTTGGAGTGGGGGAAAGATGGTTGCAAAGGAGAAAACACAAGATTAACAGTTAATTTTTCTAATGTTGATGTTCTATTAGCGATAACATATGAAGTAATACTACTTTACCTGATGACATGTAATAGGAATTAAAGAAGGTGCCTTGTAAACTTTCCGTAACTGAGAATCTTCTACAGCCCCATGTATGAGGACAATGTAGATTATAGCTTCATCATAAATATCAGTTTTAGTGTTTAGTGGTACATCTTTGACATAAAGGTTGCACAGTTGTAATTGCATTTTGTAGTTCCAGTCCTATAAGAAAAACCACAAATTCATAGTCTATGATTTCTTTTGAAAGTTTAATGTAAATTTCTAGTAGTTTATTTCTAACAATATTTTACTATTATTCCATTTAGAAAGGAGAGATGCTATACCAGTTCTTACCTCATAAGATAACTTTTCTCTGACTTTTTTTGCAGTAATAGTAAGTCCAATTTTTAGCCACATTTTATATTCTATAGCTGGGCAGCAAAGTTCAAAAGCTTCAAACAAATGCTTTCTGGAAATAAAGCAAGTCTGGGAAAAAGAGTGTGGAACAAAAGTTCAATATTTCATTCAATGGAATTATGGTTTAAAGAAGGCTTATCACATTTAAATCATTAACCCTAAGAATTTAAATTATGTGAGATTCATGTGTATGACCTGTAGATACAATAAAAGTTATATATTAGTAAATATTTGTACAATATTGATATCTATTGAATATCAAAAGGCCACAAGATCTAGTAAGATTTTCATTATTATTTTCATAGATTCTGATCAGTTAAAAATATTACATGAAAAAATTTAGCTTTTTAAAATGAAAAGGAAAATATTTCTAAAAAGACACTATTTGTAAGGAAGAAAAATTCCAGGCAGCAATAAAATGTTAGTGCTTAGAATGAATATTCTACTGGCTATTAAGAATAATCTGCACTGCAATCCTGAAGGCATGCAGCTCAATTCCACCAGCTTCTCCAAAGGACAAGGACGGGCAATCTCCTCCCCTGAAATTAACTGCCTCTAAAAACCCACTGGAGAATCAGCTATGGGTTGATTCCAACTCTACGGTAAAATAATAACAACAACATTAAGAATAAAAGTACAAAAAAAAGTGATGGGATAATTCACATACAAGTTTGTGGTTGGTTTTTTCTTTCTTTCTTTGTTGTATATCATCAAATTGGATTTGACTGACACAAGAGAAGATTGCCCCTCTTTTTCCAGTGGAACATCTGGTAGATTTGAATCTGGTAGATTCGAACAGGGTACCTTTGAAATTGTAGTACAGCTTTTTGCCACTAGGTCACCAGAGCTCCCCCATATACAAGTTTTTGTATATGTAAGTTTTTAATTTCTTTGGGTAAATACTTTGGGATATACTGAGTCACATGGTAAGTACATGTGTAAGAAATTTTCAAACTGCTTTCAGTACTGGTTGTAACATTTTGCACTCCTTTTAGCCACAAGAATTACAATTTCTTTATAACTTCATCAACACGTGGTATGCCAGTATTTTACATTTTTAACCAATATATTAGGAAAGTTATAATATCTCATTGTGGTTTCCTTTGCACTTCTCTAAAAGCTATGATGTTAATTTTTTTACATTGCTCATAGGCTATTTGTATATTCTTTGATAAAACACCTGTTCAAATTCTATGCCTTCATTTTAGTTAGGTAGTTTGCAGTCTCATATTTTAATTGTAAGTGTGGTCTGTAAGCCACACCACAGGGAGCTCTGGTGGCCTAATGGTAAGAAATTGCACTGTAATCTCACAGGCATGTAGTTCAAACCCACCAGTTGCTTATTAGGAGAATGGTCAATCTCCTCACATATGATTTCCTGCCTATGCAAACCATCTGAAGAGTCAGTTGTGGAATGGTTCCAACTCGATGGCACACCATTGCCACCACCACAAGTGTGGCCTCATCTGTAGGAAGTTGCATTTCTAATCCAAAAGTGGTACCTCTGCCATGCCAAATCTACTAGGTCCGGGGAGGAAGATAAGCAAACTCATGTGTGACCTGATGAAGGGTTAGTTATGAGTTGCTTCTGAGTTGATGGCTATAAATTTGAGGTTTTTATTTTGAACTGTTCTTGATATACTGTTTTCTTGAGTTCTTTTTTTAGATGAAGATATTGTAGAAGTTTCCCTCAATCTGTAACTTGCTTTATATTGTCTTTTTAAAAATTTTCTACTAGTTTATTTATAAAATTCAACTACAAATTTGAACAAATTCTTTCAAATTCCCTCACCATTCCCACCCATCAAAGTGTACAACCTGATGATTAATCTCCTTTCCCCCTGCACATCCGAGTCCCTCTGCTTCCAACATCTACAACTCATCTTGGATCCTTATTTCATTCTACAATAATGAGCTTATAAAATATTTGTTCCTGTGGGACTGAGTCATTTCACTCAGTATAATGCTCTCCAGTCCTTCCCAAGCTAGGTAATAATTTACAAAATCATTGCTTCTGTGTGCTGCATAGTATTCCATTGTGTGAATGTACCATAATTTCTCAATCCACTTGTTTTTTGTTGGGCATTTAGACTGTTTCCATGTTCTTGCAATGGTGAATAATGCTGCTATGAACGTTGATGTACAAATCTCAGTTTGTGCCTCAGTTCTCTTATTCTCAGGGTATATTCCAAGGAGTGGAATAGCTGGATTATATGAAATTTCTATGTTCAGCTTTTTTGAGGAAGCACCAAACGGCCTCCCAGAATGATTTTATCATTTTAAAATCCCATTAACAATGTATAATATTGTATTACAATTGTAATATAATGTAGCATATTGGAAGAGCTTGCTAGGGCAATACTGCAAGAGAAGGAAATAAAAGGCATCCAGATAAGCAAAGAGATAGTTAAACTGTCGCTATATGCAGATGATATGATAGTATACACAAAAAACTTCAAAGACTCAACAATAGAAAAACCTGTTAGGAGTTAATAGGCCAACTTAGTATAGTAGCAGGATATAAGATCAATACACAAAAATCAGTAGGATTCCTCTACAGTAACAAAGAGAACTCAGGGAAGGAAATCAAGAAAGAATTGCCATTTACAATAGCCAACCACAAATTGAGATACTTGGGTGTGAACCTAGTTAGAATACAAAAGACCTATACAAAGAAAACTACAAAGCATTTCTGCAAGACACAATAAAAGATCTAAAGAAATGGGAAAATGTGCCCTGTTCATGGATAGGAAGACTCAATACGGTGAAAATTAAAATCCTACCAAAAGCGATCTACACATTCATGGCAATCCCAATCCAGATACCAAATTCATTTTTCAAGGAGATTGAAAGGGAAATTATCAAATTTATTTGGAGAGGCAAGAGACCCCAAATAAGCAAAACACTTCTGAGGAAAAAAAATAAGATTGGAGGCATAGCATTCCCTGACCTCAAAATCTACTACACAGCAGTAGTAACCAAAACAGCATGGTACTGGTACAATGACAGGCACATAGACCAATGGAATAGAACTGAGCACACAGACATAGACCCAGCTATGTATGGTCAATTGATATTTGACAAGGAAATCAAAGCTATCAAATTGAGAAAAAAAATTATAACCCTTCAACAAATGGTGTTGGCAAAACTAGACTTCCACCTACAGAAACTGAAACAGGATCCACATCTCATACCATACACATAAATCAGCTCAAGGTGGATTAGAGACCTGGAAGTAAAGCTCAAAACCATAACATTCATAACAGACAAACTGGGATCAAGCTTAGAAGTCCTAGTCCAAGGTATAGAGACTGCCACATACAACCAGAAATGCACACTCTAAAGAGGATAAAATTGGTGCATGGACCTTCTAAAGATTAAATCCCTATACACATCAAAAACTTTCTAACAGGGTAAAAAGAAAACCTACAGACTTGGAACAAACATTTGGTAATACCATCTCAGACAAAGAGTCTTATAACAAAAACAAAAGTTTACAGAATACTCCTGGGCCTCCACAAGAAAAAGACTAATAGCCCAATTACAATATGGGCAAAAGACATGGAAAGAATTTTCACAGAGGAAGATATACGAATGGCAAACAGAAACATGAAGAAATGCTCCAAATCACTGGCAATAAGAGAGATACAAATCAAAACCACAATGAAGTACCACCTCACTCCAGTAAGAGTGGCAAAGTTTAACAGAGCAGCAAGTAATAAATGTTGGAGAGGATGTGAGAAATGAACTCTTTTACTGTCTTTTGAAGAATAGGGATAAAAAGATAGTAAATTGGATTTGGTGATATCAATTTATTAACTATTCATTTTATAGTTAGTATTTTTTATTCCCTGGCTCAGAAATCTGTCTCTCTCAAGATTTTTTAAAATTTTTATAGTTCTAGTATTTACATATATGTCTGTGATAATTCTAATTTGGACAAGATTTGTTGCTCACACATGGCTAGCCAATGCTTAAAGAATTATCTGAAAATACTATTTTTTCTCTATCAAAATATCAAGTACTGCTTGTCAAAAATAAATTGACCATTGTCTTTGATCAGCACTGTTTTATTTATCTTCTCTGTAATCCAATGCCACATGCCTTGAGTATCATTGATTCAAACCAGGTAAGTTATATACCATTACCATTTACATAATATGTTTTGTCTGCACTAGAACAACTGAATTTTCTTGTGTTTTATATTGAGATAATAATGAATGTATAGGTCAATTCAGGAAGAATGGAAATCTTACTAATATGACACCATCCATTAAAAAAATAGTATAGCAATCTTTATCTTTAGATATGTCTGAAAGAAATTTTTTTGGAAAAGTTTTGCACTTCTTTCACTTTCACTCTTTATAAAAGTTCATTGCTGTTGACTTGAAACCAACTCATTGCTCAAGGCTGTAAATCGTAGATGCATAGTTGTGTGTGCATGAGCATGTATGTGTATATGCGTGCTTTTTACCGTAGAGAAAACAACCTTTTTGACAACTTTGCCCTTTAATTGCTGAGAGTACCAGCACTGAAGATCCAACTGAGTCTTTGTTATGTCCTTAATATCTACATCAGGGGCGTTACCACGGGTGGGTTTTAGCTGAATACCTATCTGGGGTCTCATCCTACCACACAGCCACAGATTTCAACTGGATCTGGAAACACAGTATTCATATGCCTGATTTGTTGTTAGAAGTATTACACTTATCTGTCAGTTTTTTGTTGTACTAGGAGAATGATTGGCATATTGCTACTTTATTGCTTAAGTACCTACATTCTTGCTTTTTAATCATTGTTTTTATTAATATAGTACTTGTCTGTCAGCTTGTTGTACTGAGGTAACTTTTGGGTTACTATGATTTTGAAAGCTGTGCTACAGGTGTGTCAAATGCCAGAAGGGTCACCCATGGTGGACAGATTTTAGTAGAGCTCCTAGATTAAGATAGATTATGAAGCAGGATTGGTTATCCACCTCTTTAAAAGCAGGACTCTGAAAACCCTACGAACAAGAAAGGAACATTGGTAGTTGTAGTATTAGAGGTAGAGCCCTGCTTGGAAGTCAATCA